AGCACCACCCCCTAGAGTCGAACACGACTGAGCAAAAATTGTCAAGGGGAACCTTTACCTTTACCTTTTTATCCCTTTTTTTAGACATGGATTCCTGTGCCCAATGTCCAGAACACGAATACTCCAGTAGTGATCAAACTCATTGCATTTCCAAGACCATAAACTACCTCTCTCAACAAGAAACTTTAGGGATCATCTTATCCATCTTGGCTGGTTTCTTTTCCTTGATCACAGCTTTAGTGCTTGCAATGGTTATGAAGTATAAAAACACACCCATAGTCAAAGCCAACAACAGGAGCTATACCTACATCCTCCTCATCTCCCTTCTTCTTTGCTTCCTTTGTTCTTTGCTCTTTATTGGACATCCTACAAAACTGAGTTGCCTCCTCCGAAAAGTAATGTTTGGCATAGTTTTCTCTGTGGCCCTTTCCAGCATTTTGGCAAAAACCATCACAGTGGTGCTGGCATTTATAGCCACCAAACCAGGATCCGCAATGAGAAAATGGATGGGAAAAAGACTGGCAAATTCCATTCTCCTTTCTGGCTCTTTTACTCAAGTAGCTATTTGTACCATTTGGCTCTGGATGTCTCCTCCATTTCCAGATGTGGACATGCACCAACTAGATAAAGAGATCATATTGGAATGTAATGAGGGTTCTATGTCCATGTTTTATGGTGTCTTGGGCTATTTGGGCTTCCTGGCCAGTGTCAGTTTCCTGGTGGCCTTCCTTGCCAGGAAGTTGCCTGACAGCTTCAATGAGGCCAAATTCATCACTTTTAGCATGCTAGTATTTTGCAGTGTTTGGGTATCCTTCGTTCCAACCTACCTGAGCACTAAAGGCAAATACATGGTGGCTGTGGAGATCTTCTCCATTTTGGCCTCTAGTGCCGGCTTACTGGGTTGCATCTTTTTCCCTAAATGTTACATCATCATAATAAGGCCAGAGTTAAACAGCAGGGAACAACTCATGCGAAGAAAATAGTGAAACAATGATGCTTGTCTCTGCCTAGTACTGTAAAATTAAGGAATGATTCGTTAGAATTTATTTTCAGAGATGGAAGTTACTTTGATTTTTTTCCAGTAACAAATTATTTTTTAAATTTCAAATGGCTAAGAAATAGTGTAATCTCTGCTCTCCACTACTGGCCTTTTGACATGAGTAGAGTTCAGGTCATTAAAAAAAAACCTACAAGTTGAGTCCAAGCCAAGTCACTGGTGTGATTTAAGTGCAACTTGACAACATGTTACACAGCTTGAGTCCCCATCCCCTCGTCTAGATTATTGATTGTGTCAGTTGGAAATGTCTATTTAACTCTTTGGAATTTTATAAATTTGGCAGTAAATTTACAATGGTATTACATTGTATTACATGGTGTGTTACATACACTCTTTTGTTCACTCTGGTGATAGAATTCTTAGCTTTATGTATACGGGCAAATGAGAGCATTCCGGTGATACATATTAGGAACTCAATTCATGTCTTCAGCATATATGGTGATGATGTGATATTGACGTTAAAGAATCCTCTAGAAGCAATCTCCCATATATTAAAGGAATTAGAGGGATTGTCTGGGACCACAGGACATCAAGTGAATTTTAGGCACACCTAATGTGCTTTAATATGCTCCCTTTGTACAGTAATTTGTAAACATGTCTGATCACTTCTCTTCATTAATTTTGATTTAACAATCATGTTCTTCCATGTCATTGAGCCCTCATGACTAGTGCAGATCAGCTTCAATCAACAACAATGTTTTTTTAGAGCTGTTTCATTTATTTCAGGTAGAGAGTAAAGATCTTCAAAGGGATTGAAGCATTTTGTGGCCTGCTTCCTGATGTCAGCTTGTCTAATTTAATTTCTTATTTGATACCAGCTTAGCCAGAAGATGATCCAGTGTCTGAAATGATCTCTCCAAAAATCCCTATGAAAAGGCTGTTGATTGATGTAGAACTCCATTAACCTAATAAGACTGATCTTTTTGAAAACTTTAAGGGTGAATACCTCATCATCTTTGCGAGACCTGGGTAGTATTATATGAGACACATCTAAAAAAGAAAGAAAGAAAATACCCAACAGTTACATTCACTGAATTGTAGTATTCGGAGTCCAAGCATGTCCTTCTACTTTCAATGATGACAAAGACTGGGTTTTGCAGACACTGTTTTCACAGAATTGTGTGCTTTTATAGTGAGAGTACCAACATGGGGTCATGTCAATGAAAGGACAGCTGTGTACTCACTACAGGGGGGGAAACATAATTGTCAGTGTGAGAAAACAGGTCAGAAGGAAGGAAACAAAGGTGGGAACCTTAAACTAACAGTTGTCTTGGAGAACTGACATATGTTCTAAGCTTTGAAATCCTCCTTAAAAATTTGATGTACTGTAATGTGATATTTTCCACAAAATAAAGATGAAGACAGCACCAGTAGAAAATAGATTTTCCCATGATATGTGATGAATGCAAAACATGTGGGCTGGACAAAGTGATATAGAGCAGTGGTCCCCAACCTTGGGCCTCCAGATGTTCTTGGACTTCAACTCCCAGAAATCTGGTCAGCGGAGGTGGTGGTGAAGGCTTCTGGGAGTTGTAGTCCAAGAACATCTGGAGGCCCAAGGTTGGGGACCACTAATATAGAGTACACTTTGGTGGATGTTTCTTAATGTCCACTAAATCTCACTGATATGTTTATAGATACCAGCAACACTACTTAAGGCAGGAAAGAAAAGTCTTGTAGCACATTTAAAACTTGTATACCTTCATCAGGACGCATCCATAACTGGGTACCCCCAAAATCAATGGTCTCCCCAATAATTTTTTATGAGGCAATAGAATTATACAAACATGGAACATGTGTTCTAGCACTACACATAACATCGTGCCTACAACAGTTCACTGCTACTAGGCTGTCTCCAGGCAAAGTTCAAAGTAATAGTTATGACATGCTACTGCCCTCTGTTCTGTGTTTGTGACTTGAGCCCAAGCTATCTGGAAGCCCTTGCTCTCCCATAGACCCCTACCCAGGAATTGAGATCTGCTATAGAGCCCTTTCTCACTGTCTCACTCTATTCAAAGTTCCATGTGGTGGGGACTCAAGAGAGGGCTTTCTCTGTGGCTGTTTCTAAGTTCTAGATATATTAGTAGACCATATACTGAATTTGCCTCCTCCTTGCTGTCATTCTGCTTGGAGTCAACAACTTTTGCCTGTTTGTTTGGAAGAATTAAGTAGTTCAGGAACTAACAGCCTTCTAACCATCAAGTTTTAACTGATGTGCTGGTTTTCTTGAGTGCAAGTTCAACTAAGCAATTTGAAGGAATTTCATTTTACAGCTGTACTAACTGGGAGACCCAGTGTAATGTAGTGGAAAGAATGATGGACTAGGACTCCGGAGGCCAGGGTTGGAATTCCCACACAGCCATGGAAACTCATTGAGGGTGTGCAGCCAATAAAATCATTCCTTAAATATCTCACCTTGAAAGGACTATTAGGGTTGCTATAAGTCAGTTCCAATTTGACAATACATAACAAAATCCTGTTGCTCAGCTCTGTATGTGGAATCAAAGTGGTGTCATTATCATCAGCATATTATTGTAGATTAAAGGCAAGTTGCTGCTAATCAAAAGTGATTTGGGGGTACATAAACGCAATCACTCATACACAATGCATGTTACCTAGTAGCTTGTTCTCTAATCACTAGTAAAGAGGTGAAATGAATCAACTGTTGTATATGGAAACATTATGTTGAAGCACCCTCTGACAGAGTTTTTAAGTGTTCCCCAAGTTTTGGAATGTTAATCACAAACAGGTCATATAACTACAGAACAGCACAATTTTCTCATGGCTGAAAATGAAGCCATTTTTATGTGTCAGCAAAACTGAAGTTAGTTATTGTGGTGATGCATGTTTTCAAAGCCTTTTTTGCCCAAATCCAAAGTGTGTTCTTTAAAGTGAGTTTCAAAAATGGACCAATATCCTTTTTTTCAATGGAAGAAAAGAAAGGCCCTATAATTGCCCAGTTTCTCCACTCTGAACCTCTAAGGGTATTCAAGTGCCCTTCTTATCAAGGGTTACCAAGATGAATGATTCTGAGCACATTTCTCCAGTTTAATAGGCTGCATAATGGCATGAGAGATTAGGAATCCCCGAAATCAGTTTAAACTGATTATCCTTCCATTAATCAATCACATAAGAAAGTACACTAAATGAAAGGTGTTTGGAATTCTAAGAAGGACTTTTAAAACTGGGGAGGAAATAAGTCAATAATGAAGATGACAAGATATACTTCATGTGGTCATAGCAACTCACTTTCTGGCTTATACAACAAACCATAGTGATACAGACCATAGTTATTGTGGAATGTGAGTGCATCTAGAGTCAACATTTGAATTTAGCATTTTAAATGGGAACCCCCCCTTTTTTTTTGCTTAGTCACACCTCACAGATCTTTAAAAACATAAGCTATTCAAAAATAATCCCTGTGAGTGTCAAAAAGGTGACCAACACCAATTGGAAGTGATTTGGTGCTGAACCTGATTATCCTGTGATTCAGCTAAACTTGTTTGGCCTCTGACTCAGTGTAACTCTGAAAATCAGACTTCAACTAATGGCTACCTGTGACTTATTTCTTCATCCACAAAGAAGAAAGTGACACTTAGGAAACAAAGAAAAAAAGTAATACGTAAAAGAAAAGAAATGTCTAGCATAATTATGTGATGACATGATGCAACTTGAAAGGCTAACAACACACTTCTGATCCTGCCCTATCATTGACATAATGACTGGTTTCCATTTTGTTGCTCAACGGATTTACACTGCTAGTCAGCAAAATCAACAAACATGTCTCAGAGAGCTTTAAATCATGAACAAGGTGCATTAGTCATACTTCTTCTGTATCATCAGTTCCATAATTTTAAGTAAATTTCAATCAATTGGTCCTAGCATTATTTTTAAATCAAAGGAAGTATACTGTGACTACTGCTGTTCCTCACATCTTCTCCTTGTTTGACTCATCTTTACACTTTTCTTTTACAACATGGGGAAACAGAGCCTTCATGGTGAATTATGAAATAGTGTACATCGACCTACTATAACACTTAATTGGAAACATGCTCCATCTCCGTTCACCTACTGTGGCAGCTTTTTTTTAATAATTCAAATCTACAGAAATGGGCGGTAAATGGTCAAGAATTCACAGTGTTGCTTGTTTTTCTTTGCATGGCAATGCAAGGCTTATGTTGCTTTTAACAAAACAGTTTTAATGAAGGACAAAGGATGCTTATAGTTCTCATTCCAACGTATAGCATAAACCAAAGGGATAAGAAGCATATGATGTTTAGCTTAGCAGTGCTTAACCTGATTAATTCTCTTACAGGACTCAGAGGTTTGACTATTCCTGAGATTTTATTGATCAGATAAAACTGTATGCCATTCCTGTTTGGGGAAGCAGTTCATTTTGTTTTGTTCGTATTGAAACCATATGAATTGCAAAACTTATATTCTTCAGCAAGGGAAGCAGGAATAATATTATTTGCAATCCACAGGATGCTGGTGTTAAACTGATAACAGAGTCAGAGATAGCGCTGACAGCGGAAACATGGCAATTGATTTTAGGAGTACATGTTTTTTGAACAGGACTGTGCTGGTCACAGTGTTACTCCTTGTACTCCTGTGTCATATTGTGGGCAAAACACATTTTATTAATTGCACCATCTATGATGATCCTCTCCCTATTCCTCATCAGTTTTACCAAGCAGGTGACCTCGTGATTGGTGGGATTATTTCCCAGGTCTTTCTTCTCTTTAATACCTTCTCTTTCATGGAGCAGCCTGCACAGATGTTGACCGATGAACCTATGTAAGATCCATTGTTTTCTTTTCTCCTTCTGTTTTTTCCACTCCCTTCTGGAGAGGTCAGAGTTACAAGAAAAGGGCAAAAGGAAATGAGAAGCAATGTGGACAAAGCTAATCCCTTCCCCTCTTTTTCCCCCCTCTTATTTAAGTATCAATGCCTTAAAGCATTTTTCCCATTCATTCAGGTCAAATGACAATAGCAATAAAGATCCTAAAACCCAAACATTGCAGGAATGCCATGTTTAATCAGAAAAAGAAGCAAATTGTCTATGTCATGGTTGTTGTGGGTTTTTTGGGATCTTTGGCCATGTTCTGAAGGTTGTTCTTCCTAACATTCCGCCAGTCTCTGTCGCTGACATCTTCAGAGTGCTGTCCTCTGAAAATGCCGGCCACAGAGACTGGCAAAATGTTAGGAAGAACAACCTTCAGAACATGGCCAAAGATCCCAAAAAACCCACAACAACCATGACATAGACAATTTGCTTCTTTTTCTGATTAAACATGGCATTCCTGCAATGTTTGGGTTTTAGGATCTTTATTGCTATTGTCATTTGACCTGAATGAATGGGAAAAATGCTTTAAGGCATTGATACTTAAATAAGAGGGGGGAAAAAGAGGGGAAGGGATTAGCTTTGTCCACATTGCTTCTCATTTCCTTTTGCCCTTTTCTTGTAACTCTGACCTCTCTGAAGATTTTCCATATTTTCGGTTTTGTTCTTACTTTTCAAAAAGAGGGGAAGGGATTAGCTTTGTCCACATTGCTTCTCATTTCCTTTTGCCCTTTTCTTGTAACTCTGACCTCTCTCAAGATTTTCCATATTTTCGGTTGGTCTTTTAGACCCATGGCCTCTGCATTATTTGTGCAAGCCCAAAAAATAACAGCCACTGTCAGAAACACACAAAACAGGTTGTAAGAGCAGACCTTTGGTCTAGATGGGTGGGATAGATATCAAATAAATAAATAAACAAATAAATTATTTGAGCTTTTCTGTTTCAGTTACTGGAAGCCAATAATTCGATTGTAAATATGGTTTTCAATATGATAAGTCTGTTTCAGTTACTGGAAGCCAATAATTCAGTTGTACATATGGTTTTGCATATGATAAGTGGTTCTTTCTTGCCACATGCTATACAATTAAATTACCAAATTTCCATGCAAATAACACGAGTGTTATGTATGTGTGTTTTTCAAGCCGTGGGACCCACTGTGTGTTGTATTCATAGGGGCACCATAATATTTTCAGTGGTTAGGGTCTTAATCTGGCCCTGCAGCATCCCCAGCTTCATCAATTTGATGACTGGTTCTTAGTCACCCTTTCAACTCAACTGTAGGGGTGCTTAAGAAACCTTCAACAAAAGCAAAATCAATCCCTGTATGCTTTTTTCATTGGTTATTTTTCACAAGAGAGATTCACTTAGTTACCAACTAAGCCGATAACGCACCTCTTTTTGTTTTCTACCTGCAGTAGCTTCTTTCATTTCAGCTTCTTATTCTTGTGAAATGTCCATTATATAAGAGTATATCTGTGTAGGGGTGCTTAAGAAACCTTCAACAAAAGCAAAATCAATCCCTGTATGCTTTTTTCATTGGTTATTTTTCACAAGAGAGATTCACTTAGTTACCAACTAAGCCGATAACGCACCTCTTTTTGTTTTCTACCTGCAGTAGCTTCTTTCATTTCAGCTTCTTATTCTTGTGAAATGTCCATTATATAAGAGTATATCTGATTTCAAGATACTATACATGATCCAGATGTCTGTACATTTTTCTTCCATTATCAAAGAAGCACTGTCAGACAAATATTAATCAATAGAATTTCAAAATCCATTGAGAACGTGGTGCTTCCTAAAGAGATGGAAAGGCGAAAACATATGAATACATATGTTTTATATGTCTTTATCTATTATTTTCCTTCCTGCTCTAAATGAGTGTGTAACTTGTAAATTTTGAAAGTAAGCCAGGGAACAATAATGAATATGTAATTGTTTCTGTTCTTCAGTTAAATTGCCTCCAATTCTTGTTAACAGTTCAGTGCCTAAAAATTACCAACATGCCCTGGCCTTGGCATTTGCTGTCAAAGAGATCAATGAGAATCCTAAAATTTTACCAAACCTATCTCTGGGATTCTACATCCTTAATAGCTACTACACAGCAAGAATGACCTCTAAGGCCACCCTCAGCCTTCTTTCTACAAGGAACAGGTTTGTCCCCAACTTCAAGTGTCACAACTACAAGAATCTGATTGCTGTCATTGGAGGGTGTCTGTCTCAAACTTCAACCAATATTGAAATCATTTCAGCCAACCACAAGATTCCACAAGTAAGTTCTATGCCTGAGGGTTTGTGGCATACCACCTGTCATTTCAGTTGACAATTTCTTGATCTTATGTCCAGTAAACAAATATGTTTGGTGAACAAACTTATTACATGCTATCTGGATAATAAACCAATCAGGTAGGTTCAGATTGCTGGTTCAAAAACTGTTCTAAATCAAAGTCATGTATGTATATAGTGGTGCCTCGCTTGACGATGTTAATTCGTTCCAACAAAATCGCTGTAGAGTGAAAACATTGTTAAACGAAATAAAAAAGCCCATTGAAACACATTAAAACCCAGTTAATTTGTTCCAATGGGCTGAAAACTCATTGTCCAGCGAAGATAATCCATAGGGGCGGCCATTTTCCATGCCTCTGCAGCGAGGAATTCATCCCTAAGCACAGCGAGGGGGCATTTTCTTCAGCCGGTGGCCATTTTGAAACCTGACGATCAGCTGTTTTTGATCGTCCTAAAGCGAAAATCGGTTCCCGAAGCAGGGAACCGATCATCGCTAAGTGAAATTCCCCCATTTAGACCATCATTTTGCGATCACAATTGCGATTGCAAAAACCTCATCGTAAAGCGATTTCCTCATTAAGTGAGGAAATTGTTAAGCGGGGCATGACTGTAGCTGATTGTCGTATCTAGTGAAGGATAAGTGTCAGGGCTACTCTTTAATATTGTCAAGAGAATTAAAAAGAAAACCCCAATATATATGTATTACTTAGAGGGCAGTGATAAAATTCAAGATAAGCTTCGTAGAATGGAAAATGTAGTTTAATATAAAATTTAATATTCAAAAGAAAAAATTGGCATGTTTGGCATTAATTCAAAACGTGTAGTTACAGGAGAGAGAGCCCTGCCTATGCTATAAGATATGGGAGGAATGGAAGATTTATGCCTCATCAAAAGCAGTAA